ACGTGGAGTTGTAGGTTTTTGTATTTTTTTTTCTTTAGTACATGTTTATTTTAGAAGGAAATTGTGAAGATTGAATCAAGCGAGTATTGCCAAATCGATTTTAAACTAGAAGCTACATTTGTTTTTATCTTACAGTGTGATTCAAAGATTCATGAAAAACTAGCAAACTATTCAGAGATTAATATCTGGTTAAAAAAATGACTAGGAAGAAATCATATAAATATTTTAGTGATTTTTTCTATACAAAGTGCATTGCCTTTTTAAAAGTTATAAACGTAAGATATGCTTATTGCAAAAATATAAAAAATAGAGCCACATATATAATAAATTATTAAAGGCCACTGGCCTCTCTAAAACCATTCTACCAAAGTAAACTCTATGTATACTTTTTAACTTGCTGACAAAAGCTACAAATTCGATATATGTAATCTTGTTCCTTAACAACTGCTGAATAGAAAAAACAACCTATCAAGAGATATTTAAGGAATGGTAACTATAGACATGGAAGAGGACATCTAGAATAGAGGAGAAAATAGGAACATACAAATCACTGTGAAATAGCATGAACTAGAGTTTGGAGGACCATTTTCTATTGTTTAAAGTATTCTGGTTTATTTTTGTCTGTATCTTATGTTTTACTTTCCACTATGTCTTTCCAATTTATTTATTCATTTATCAGATAACTACTTATGAGCATTTTTAATGCACCATGTATTATTCTAGATGCTGAAATACAGCATTGGATAGTGAAGAGAACCCATGCTCATGGAATTTAAATTCAAGTTGCTCAGACAGAAAATAAAACAAATCTATGCATAATAGTCTCTGTGTAGTGGTATGAAGAAGTAAAGCAAGGTAAAGGGAGATAACGTTTTCAGTGGGGTAGCCAGAGAAAGCCTCTCTGAGGAAGAGTTACTAAAATAGAGACCAATGGAGAGATGGAATGAGCTGTCATCATAGATAAAGTACCTGCTAGACCCTGAGGCTCTCGCATGCCTGCTTGTTTTGAAGAACAGAAAAAGCGAGGAGGGGAGTTACAAGGAAAAGAATAAGAGAAGTAGCAAAGAGCCAAGATTATATAATCTCATAAATACAGGATTTGGGATGTTAGTATGCTGAGGAGTAATTAAAGGATCTTGAGGAAGAAAAGTAGATCATCTTAAATTATTGTGACTGCTATTTGGAGAATAGACTACATGGTTGGAAAGTGGGCAAGACTATCAGAAGGAAGATCAATTAAAGTTAATTTAGGTCATATGAGTAAAGAATCTTTTTAAATAATCATTAGCCTTTCTCATCCACAAAATCCACAAAAAAAGGCATTATCTAACCCTTGTAAAAATACTGCTATGCCTTAAGCTGATTGCTTATAAATCAGGAGTATTGGGAGCAGCACACAAAACTTATTGCCTAGGAATAAAGAACAAAGAGGGGCATTTTGTTTCACTAAACACATGTTTCTATAATCCCAATTAGTACATATGTGAGGGGAAAAAAGGAGATAATGACAGTGTACCTTAGAAGTCACATCAGTTCATCTGTCAGTTATTGAACATTGATGTTTTGTATCTCTGAGTGATGACACCAGCTGAGTGCAAAATATACTAACAGCTGGATGTAGCAAATTCAAGAGGAATTCTGTACAGTGTGAGATGAACCCTGAGCTCTTCTTCGCTCAGTTTGGTTCTGTAGTCTGAGAAGTGCTGGTAGCATGGGTCTCCTCAATCCTTTTTCAGGTTGCCCTTTACTTTGAAATTGACTAGCTTTTTAAATTTCCATTTTATTATAAATTTAGCATACCTTTTAAAAATTGGGAAAGTACTTTTTATGAGTGTTATTGCTTTGTTATTAGTACAATACTTACAAAGTTGCTCATACATTTGTATGAACAAATGCATACACATGTTTATGCATTATAGCATAAACACTTATGTCAGCTAGGGTTCTGACTGGAAAATATTATAAAAACTATTTCAACTATTTTAATGCTAGAAATTCCATGCTTATAAGAATATTGAAGTGCTGAGGGTACAAATGTCACGGTAAACTGTTGGCTTTCTGGAAATCAGAGTTGTAGCAATCTCAGGAAACCATCATCAATGATCTCAGCTGCCTGTTGGAGGACAACACCCAGGAAAGGTTTGCAAAACCGTAAGGGGCAGTCATTGTTTCTACTACTAGTCTTCTGTCTTCTTTTTTTTTTTTTTTTTTTTGAGACAGAGTCTCACTTTGTTGTCCAGGCTAGAGTGAGTGCCGTGGCGTCAGCCTAGCTCACAGCAACCTCAAACTCCTGGGCTCGAGTGATCCTTCTGCCTCAGCCTCCCGAGTAGCTGGGACTACAGGCATGCGCCACCATGCCCGGCTAATTTTATATATATATATATCAGTTGGCCAATTAATTTCTTTCTATTTATAGTAGAGACGGGGTCTCGCTCTTGCTCAGGCTGGTTTTGAACTCCTGACCTTGAGCAATCCGCCCGCCTCGGCCTCCCAAGAGCTAGGATTACAGGCGTGAGCCACAGCGCCCGGCCCGTCTTCTGTCTTCTGAACTTCACAGTATACCTCTCTTAGTGAACTCTAAACTGGGACCCAGCTGGTAATGGTTTCTGGGAAATGTGGTTCCTAGGATTTTAGCCCCTGTGACACAGATACGATCAATGAAGATAGAGCAATATTCAGAATAGTTCTCCAGTCCCTAAGACCTTGCTGTGGATGCTATGCTGTGGCACCCAGATCCTTTTCTAGAATGAAGGATCTATTTGCCCAGCTGCCAGAAGTGCTGTTGGTAGAGCCCTCCGCTCCAGACCGCCCGGGGGAATGGCTGCAGCTGCAGAGTATCACCTGCCCCTAACCCACGCCCCTTTCTGGGGCAGCCTGTAACCACTGCTGATAAATGCGAGGGCTTACTGGCCTGGCCTCCTCACTCCAACTTCTCACTCATTCCATATCAGAACGGTTGGTAAGGTCAGTTAAGGCTGCTGAGACTGTATCTGTTTTCTTCCCATCCTTCCAGAGGTGTTGATCTCAAGATCATCACCTAATCATCCTTCTGCACATTAATTTCCATCATGGGGTCTGCTGCTGTGACACCACCCTTCACTGAAATTTGGTTACACATAATTTAGTTACTCTTTTATTTAAACTTATAAGCAAAAGCATCAGTGGAAAACTTCCACTAAAAATATCCCACCTATCCTTCTTTCAAATGACACATTCTTTACCTAAAAAAATAAAAATAAACTTCCATCCATTTAGGTATTCAGTTTGCAATGATGTTCATTCCTCATTTTGTTCATGATATCCTTTTGTTACCCTGTAGCTTAAAGATATAATTACATGTTTGACCACCTTTACATTTTAGGTTAATTAGTAGCAGAAAAGGGGAGAAATTATAATGTATTCAAGTATATCGTATAACTACTATAGTTTTTATTTCTGCCAGTGGTCACAAAGCCATAGTTGATATTTATAATTTCCCTCTTCCACTCTTTATTTATGTTCTCTTTTGTCTCAGCCAGCATCATCACAGGGGATATTATTAACAGATATTCAACATTTTTAACAGATGGAATGACCCACATCTTTCTTCCTGCAGAATCCGATCTTCTGTTTGTCATGTTGGATTATTATAATATTTCATTCTACTGTACATAGAAGTACTGAGAGGTAGACCAGAAAATCCTCAGATTTTACCCTTGCTACTGCTATGAAGAAAGCACCCCCACACACATTGCCATAATATTTAGAAAGAATCATCCTAGCCAATATAAGTATTAGCCTGCTTTTGCTAAGGCCCTAAACATCCTCAAAACTCCATGCCTTACAACAGTAAACAACTCTGTCTTACTTATGGTTTTGAGAGTCAGCTGCAGTTCTACCTGGCTCTCCTCTACTTCTATCAATGTGGCGTATTATGAAAGGCCTCGGGCTGATGGAATACTCCCTGTTGTTCCCATGAAGGTGGGTAGGAGCAAGCTGGCCTAAGCCAATCCATGCCTTCTCATTCAAGCTTCTAGTCAGTCATGAAAAAATCCCACATCATATGCCTCTTTTTGGCCAAACCATATTATATAGTCAAGGCTCACATTTATGAATTTTGTAATATGGAATTTGCAAATTCTCCTTGTCTTTATTTCACTGAAATGTAATTTTCCTATAAAAACAAACATCCTATTTTTTAAATAGAGAATTCAGCAAAATCATTATGATTTTGAATTCAGCCAATTTATAATTATGATTCCTATTGTCTTTGGTCCCTTTTCAGCCATCTTGTTTTATCTCCCCCTCCTCTTCATATCTTTCCTCTTTTCTGCATACCTTCTTTCCCTCTCCTGTGTTCCTGCTTTTATCTCCTGTGTTCATTGCTTTTCATGTCTTTTCTTTGTTAATTTGAAATGAAGAAATGCTCGTAAATAGCTAGATAGCCAAAGTTCACTCCACAGTATGCCCCCAGAAGCCATGAACTCATCAGTGGAGCCAAAAGACATCCCTGGAGTAAACAGCAGGTTAGAGTCTCAGAACATCCCAGGGCAGAACTCAGCCTTGTGTTGCATATGTAAAACTACACTAATTTTATTAAATTATGTTAATTACTTACTCATCATGCCTAATAACCATGTAGAACAATGGTATTCATCTTTACCATTAAATGGTGATAATAAATTTGTAATTTGTATTTGTTACAGTACTAAATGTGGTTCATGAAATCACTATGACAGGTTTTTACCCTACCACAAAGAAATAAATAGATGAAGAAAAAGTCATGATTTTTTATAATTATTGCCAATTAAATCAAGATCACTGGGAAAGGCACCCAGGCATAAGTATTTTGTAAAGCCCAAATATTCCAATGAGCTGCCCATTTAACAATCATGGAACTAGATCCAGAACCCCAGCTTATTCTCTGTCATTCACTCACCCTTCTCTTGAAGGAGGACTGATTAGATGGGTGAGTTTCCAACAAGAAACTAAGTTCAGCTCCTCCTTTTCTCTTCTTCCAGCCAGTCTGTCTTTGAGATGGTGAGTTCACATCTGTGATCTACCTTTGGTAAGGCCCACTTTCAGGGAATTCTGTTTTCTATGGGGTAAGTAGAACCATCTAATTGAAGAATGAATTTGTAACTAACTGTTTTACATCTTCCTGCCTCCTCTGTATAGCTCTTAACCAGATGCAAACTTGTGTACTGAAGAGGCTTTATTTATTTAGTTCCACACAATTCCAGCAATAATTATTATATAATTATGAAACATAAATAATAATAGATTTGTATTGCTACTTCTTCAAGGTGCTGGCATTTTTGGGGTTCCTTTTCCTCTTTGCTCAGTTCTTTCTTCCTCATCTACTCCTTAGCTTTTCTACTAAATGATTGAATTGTTCTTTTTCAGATTTAAAAGTGTTATACATCTATAGTTTATTAAAAACTTTTAGTTTTTATATATTGAAAAATAATAACAGTGTATGTAAACTAAACACGTTGTAATACAAATTGCTAATTATGCCAACACACCAGAGAAGTTTAAACTGGGTGCTGTCCAATCTTGCCCATTCCGCCGTTTTGTATCCTGCATTAAGGGAGAATCATGAGACTAATAATACAACCCTCTTTCCCTTCTCAGGTGATGAGACAGATTGAACAATAAAAGTTTTAAACACTATTAGAATGCCAATAATTGAAAGTGTTTCAGAAGTTAAGGAATCTATCCATGCTGCTATTAGGAAAACAGCTCGCAAGTAAGGAGCATTTGATATGGAAGATTTATTTGATGTGCTTTTATGATTTTCTTTAGATAAGCTACATTATACAAATGTGTTTGAATAAAAGTCAATTATGGCTGGGCATGGTGACTGTCATCTATAATCCCAGCAGGCTGAAGCAGAAATATTGCTCGAGGTCAGGCGTTCAAGACCAGCCTGAGCAAGACTGAGACCCCATCTCTACAAAAATAGAACAATTAGCAGCATAGTGGCATGTACCTGTAGTCCTAGCTGTTCGAGAGGCTGAAGCATCAGTATTGCGTGAGCCTGGGAGTTTGAGGTTGCAGTGAGATAACGACATTGCACTCTAGCCAGGGTGACAGAGCGAGACTCTGTCTCAAAAAAAACCCAAATTACTACTTTAATAGTTTGGACTTGTCATGATACTAATATAAATAAAAGAAAATAGAATTAAAATAAAAAGACATAGGAAAAGTAACTGCTAGAAAGTAACCAATAAGCATTTTGCTTAATATTTACCTAAACGTAAGGTTAAATGGAGCATAGCCCTTTTAAGAATAGTTTGTAGTAAAGGTTTATGCTCATAGTGGTTTGTTTTTCTCATCCTTATTTTCTTTTATAAAAAGAGATGCATATTCATAAGAAATTAGGAGTAAAGCCTGGAAGTCAGATATTCAAATAACTCTTTTCATTGAAAACTCCCTCAGGCTATCATGATTGATTACTCCTAATTTTCTTTTGAAATAAAATGTCAGGCATAGATCCTTAACAGAATTTTGAGCTTTAAGTGTTTTGCAGGATCAGTGAATAGAGTTGGAATAAAATCACTAGAGTGGGCTATAGAAAAACATTTTAGAATTGGTTAAATTTTTTCTAAACACTTTCAAAAAAATTATGATAAAAATTATTTATTTAAAGGTTTACTGACTTAAACATATGTATATATTGATGTTATGGATAGGTGTTCTGGCTGTGTGTAGGGGCAAGAATGGAAAGGAAGGAGAAATGAATACTCTTAAAATATATGGCTAATTATTTGCATTATCTCTAGAGCTGTTGCAACATGAACTGATTATTGGAAAAATATTGATAGGCTATTAAAATAATGAACTTTGGATTTCAGTAAGCCAATCTATACTGAGAATCATTTTGCATAAAAATGACTAAAATTGCATTTGTTTCACAAAAATGAGGTAAAACAAAAGTTTAAATGGGAATTTATCTCTCAATTACACAAATTTTTAAAGAAATTTTGTTTTTAAATAATCTGTCTTAATCGGTTACAATTTCTTCCCTGTGTTACAGTTTTATCTTTGCCTTCAGTAGATACTAGTTCCTAAACCTTTCGTTTGAATTAACTTCCTTAGTCCTGTGTTCTCATTTGCTCCCAGAACTTGTCAAGTTGCTTACCTGTCCCTTGCTTTTGCTTCTGACCTCCACCACCCTCACCGCCCGTCTTCCAACACTGCCACAATACATATAAACTAAAAGGTGAACTGTCTCCTGCCTTGTATCTACTTACATTACTGGGTTTTGAAAAAGTTGTATCTAAACATTTGATCTCCAAAATCTTCAAATACATCTTTTCTAAAGATTTTAATGTTAGGCTTATTGTCAGCATTGACAGCAAGAAATCATTATCATCCTTCTTATAACTCTCACCATATGGAAAGCACTTTTAAAAACCCACCATATGCATTACTGAGTTTAATCCTTAAAACATCCTTAGGAGCATTATTTTTATTTTACATTTCAATTGAGATATTAAGGGATTAAGGGATAATATTTCCGAATGTTTCACATCTAATGTCTATATGAGGCCTGTATTCAAATCTAGATGGCTCTATGCCAGATCACAGATTACTGCCCACCCTCTCTGGTCACAGACCCAAGGCACTATTTTGGGAGTTTAAATCTGGGCAGCACCCTACCCTTGGGCTGAGTTTGGGCTGACATAGCTGCAGCCTTGCCCAGCTGAGGAGGGACAAGGAAGACCAAGATTTCCTAAACATACTGAGGACAACGGCCACTGCCCTGACACAGGAAGTTTCGGGAGTGGTGATTAGCCTGTCTGATCCATTGCAGCTACCAGTAACAACACCACAGACCACTTGGGTCCTAGTTAGTGGCTCCGCCACTGTTACTGCTACCTCCCACATTATACCAGCTGCTCGGAGGTCTGAAAACCCACCTGAACATCTGGCCCACTGCTCCAACTCCTAGCTTTTGAGCAAGCCACCTTAAGGCCCAACAAGTGGCCTCCCAGGACACACTAACACCGGAGCCAGCATAACCTGTTCTAGGGCTTAAAATCAGGCATACTTAGCCCACTGCTGCCACCACTGGGGTCTGAAGACTGGCTAGGCTGGCATTGAAGTTCCCAGCAAAATTCACCACCATCTCCACTAATAACTGTACTCTAAGTTACCAAGGAAATCACAGATATCACTGACCCCTGTGTATTGCCTAAGAAATCATACAAAAATCATACTACTGAAGGCACTGAAAATTAAAACCAAAGTGTCATAATCAACAACATTTATACATCTTCAGGAAAAGTTTTGAAAGCAATTTCTAAAAATTAAAACAAGTAACTGCTACATCAGAAGCTTAGATATCAATGGAAAGACACAGGAAACATGAAAAAGCAAGGAAATATGACACCACCAAAGAACCACAACAATTGTCCAGCAACAGATCCCAGTCAAAAAGAATTCTTTGTAATTCCATATAAAGAGTCCAAAATATTGATTCGAAGAAGTTGAATGAGATGCAATAGATATCTGAAAAACAATTGACAGTATGAATGAGAAATTTATCAAGGTGATAGATAACTTTAAGAAAACAAGCAAATTCTGAAGCTGCATAATTCATTGACAGAAATACAAAACACATTTGAAAACTTCAAGAATTGACTAGACCAAGCTGAGGAAAAAATCTCAGAACTCGAAGACAGTTCTTTTAATATAATCCAGTCACACAAAAATAAGGGGAAAAAATAATGAGGAAAGCCTTGGTGACTATATAAAGCAATCAAATTTAGGAGTTAGTCATGTTCTCAAGGGAGAAGAGAGATCAATAAGTTTAGAAACCCTAGGATTTAAGGAAATAATTAATGAAAACTTCCCAGGACTATCAAGAGAGGTAGATATTCAGATAAAGGAGGCCCAGTGATCCCCAGCCAAATACATTGCAAAAAGAACTTTACTATGGTGTATTACTATTAGAATGACTAAAGTTAAAGTTAAAAAAAAGAATTTAAAAAATAAGAGAAAAGCATCCAGTCACCTATAAAGGGAACTTCACCATACAAACAGTGGACCTCTCAGTAGAAATCTTACAGGCCAGAAGATTAGGTTATAAGAAGAGTAGGTTTTAAAAAAGAAATACCAGCCAATAATTTTATATCCTGTCAGAATAAACTTCGTAAATGAAGGAGATATAAAGATTTTCCCAGACAAGTGAATGCTGAGAAAATTCATCACCAATAGACCAAATTTATAGGAAATAATCTAAGATAATCTTAAACATGGAAGGAAAAGGTCAGTGTTCATCATCATGAAAAACACAGAAAAATATGAAACTCAATGTTATAATAAAACAATCATATCAATACACAGGAGGAAAATGAATGAAATGGCAGCATGACAAATTCAGCAAACCACAAAGACAAAAAGAGAAAAAGACACAAAGAATAAAACAACTGGAAATCAACTAACAATATGACAAGTACAAAGCCTCACATGTCAATATTAACTTTGAATATAGATAAATTCTTTACTTAAAAGTATATATTAACAGAATGCATAAAAATATATGATTCAACTATATGCTGCTTACAAGAAACTTCCCTTATGTATAAAGACATATATAGATTGAAAACAAAGGGCTGGAAAAAGATATTCAACTCAGACATAAACCAAAGGAGTAGCTAAACTTATGTCAGATAAAAGAGAATTTAAATCAAAAATAGTAAAAAAAGATCATTATAGTAATACCATGATAAATGGATCAATTCTGCAAGAGGATATGATTCTATATATATATGCACTCAACATTAGAGCACACTGATTCACATACAAATATCACTACACCTAAAGCAACAGAGAGACAGCAAACAATAAAAGTGGGGGAATTCAACACCCCACTCACAGCACTAGACTGATCATTGAGTTAGAAAATCTACAAAGAAAAATTGGTTTTAAATTGGACTTTAGGGCAAATGGACTTACCAGACGATTACAGAATATAAATGGACTTACCAGATGATTACAGAATATACAGTTTTCTTTAGCACATTCTCTAAGATAGATCATATTTTAGCCCACAAAACAAATCTTAGCAAATTTTTAAAAATTGAAATCATAT